GTTTACTTTTAGATGTCTCTGTCCACACAATCCCTATATTTGTAAGTAAAACGAAAACAAAACCTAAACACCAGACGTAGCATTAACTACCAGGTCTGTTGATAACGACAACAACATGTTTTCATAAATCTAAGAGCCTGTTTCTTTCAAAGCGTCCATGCAATTTCAAGATGGGTGTGTTTTCAAAACCCTTGATTATTCACTTCGAAATATATACACATAATAACAATGTTTTATTTAGCAATTTATCCATTAGGTGGCGACTACAATTTACCAGACTTGTAAAAAAAAAAACTTAATTTGTTACCATGCAACTGTTATCTATCTACTCTGATAATAAACGCGAAATAGCGTCATAAATGCTCACCAAATATATTCATTGTAGGGAATATGATCGTTTGATGTTATATTTAAAATATGTTACCCACTTTCTGGATAAAGGCTGCTTCAGACATTCCTAGCTCATGCATTTACAAGTCCAAATTCTGTACATATAAACGATATAGCATATCGGCTCTACAGGGGATCACACCCCTAAAGAGACTTTGTAAGACTCAGTTTACAAAAAAAAAAAATGTTTATTTTACAGCAATGAATAAAACTGTCCTAACATTCAACTAGGCATCACATATAAAAATAAATAATATAATTCCTATACTTTATCGATTCTGCCTCCATAAACCACCGCTGAAGGAGGTTTCACAGATCGCCTCCCCCTGTCACTGCGATTTTGTTATTTCGTGCTGGGATTTAAAAAAAGAAAGAGCTTTTATTAGTGCTCAGTGCTATACTTAGCCAATTTCGAGAAATGGAGACCTTTGTTTGTCTGCAAAGCATTCTAATTGGAAACCAGAATTTTCGAAAACAAGCATTCTAATTGTGAAAATCTATAAAATACGAGTAATTTACATGGAAGGGAATTAGGTACGTGTCCTCTCTTACTATTCTATTAACTGGGGGACTGTTCCTCACACATTCCAGTAACAACATCATTGAGTCTTAGTTTGTTCCTGCATGTACTTTTCGTCTGCCATTTTTGAAATCAAGGTTACCTCTCCGATATACCAGATGTGATGCTTCGTCCACTATTTTTGAAATCAAGGTTACCTCTCCGATATACCAGATGTGATGCTTCATTCACCATTTTTGAAATCAAGGTTACCTCTCCGATATACCAGATGTGATGTTTCGTCCACCATTTTTGAAATCAAGGTTACCTCCCCGATATACCAGGTGTGATGCTTCGTCCACTATTTTTGGAACCAAATTTACCTCTCCGATATACCAGATGTGATGCTTCGTCCACTATTTTTGGAACCAAATTTACCTCTCCGATATACCAGATGTGATGCTTCGTCCACTATTTTTGGAACCAAAGTTACCTCTCCGATATACCAGGTGTGATGCTTCGTCCACTATTTTTGGACTCAAATTTACCTCTCCGATATACCAGATGCGATGCTTCGTCCACTATTTTTGGACTCAAATTTGGAACCACGTAGATACATGGTATCTTCCTGTAAAATGTTACCAAAACCAGTAGGACCAGTAGACTACAGTATTTAAAAACAAAAACAAAACTTGCTAGCATAAAGGCGAAAATTTGAAGTTTTAGCAAGATATATACGTGTTATATTTTGAGAGTGATGTTCGTCCGTAAGAAAATTCAATATATAGATGTTAATCACTCAACACTATTCCAGAACATAAAGAATACACGTACACGTGATAATTGAATAATTATGAGATGTACAATAGATACAGCATTCCAAAGAACATGTTCCTATTTTTTTTTTTCGATCCCTCAAAGATCAAAAGAGTGAGTGACCAATACCTCGTGAACGAAAGTACAAATCCTACATATCCACTAGAGTCGCTGAGGAAATGTTAGTTCGGGAAAACCCAGCTAGGTCATATGACGTATTGAATGACGTACATTAGATCGATAGTAGCATCTTCATACAGTTCGGATCCTTATGGTTAACCGATCCAAAGAGCTTGTCACGAAAACGCGCACAAACACTATGTACACAAAGGTTTAGTGATAATACACAATCACAAGTTCTAATTGTCATAAAGTTCACGACACGCAAATTCCTCAAATGTAAAGTGCAAACAAGAAGAAACACCGATTATCAAAGAACTTGTGGGAGACGCGTTATGTATAGTCTAAACATGATTAATTACATATATTAACAAGCTATGTTTTCGTTCTTTTATAACCTTGA